TAACATATGTCATAATATCATCAATTCATGACGAAAACATTGTTTAAAAGAACACATGTTCATCAATAATGGTACTTATGTTGAACGAATTTATTATTCACGCAGTCTAACAGCAGACCTCTTGGTTATGGAAAGGAAATATTGATTTATTGATGGGTTACGGAAATGGTTTCAGCGATAAATCATGGAGGTTCATTTTATCGATCAAAGATCCATTGTGTGTTAGGTACTAACAAGCTGGATAATTATCTCGTTATAACAAAGGAATGTATTTTTAATGTCTAGTTATTGATTATGTGTTTAGAAGAGGAAAGTGATTTCACAGGTCAGCTGTTGTTTGGTGTGCTCAAATTTCCAAAACAAAGAGTACAGTTGTTAACCTGACTGGATACAACTAGAGAGGGCAGCAATATTGTGTTTTCCATTCTACACCCGGAACATTTAAAAGACAAATGTAATAGGGAAATATTATTAGACCATTGTTCATATAATCAGGATTTAAAGATATATCAGATTGACGATCATATCGCATACATTTATCTCAATCTTTTATTTTGTAAATATTTTTGAAGAGAAACTAGCGATGAGAAACTAATTTCTCTGGTGTAAAACAGAAGGTATGAATTCAAAAATGTTCTTCATTTTGAGGCCTTGTTCGGGTTTTTTTTAATATAAATCTGAACTGTTTTTGTTAATCCCCCTAAAAAACCTGCTTGTATAGATTGATCATCTTGAAAAATCTAAAAATATTTCTTCAAATTTCTTTTAATCTATGAGATCAAGGGTAGTGATATAATCAGAAATTCTGGAAATTACATCGTTCAATACAGACATCATGTTTTTTGTGTTGCAGTGTGTTTTACTACTTTTTAAATTCTTCTTTTCTTTCATTCCATTCTGAGTTTCAACTATACATCCTCACTGATATGCGTTGTCTTGTGGGTGAAAGGATCAACAGCAATGGCTTATAGTCATCACAACAAAAGAAATCCATTTTGCGCGTCTATATTCAAAATTAAGATGCCACTATACAGCGTTGGGATGTATGTGTATTGTTGCTTGAATATACCTGTATACTTCGATGATTTCCATATTCTTGGGTAGATTTTATAAACTTGCATGGCTGCATTTTCTTCTGCGCCTTGGAGCATTCGTGAACACATGTAGTTGCCATGGTTGCAAGGGAAAAAAGAAACCATCGGATTTCTGTCAAATGGAAATAATTAAGTTAAATTCTGAGTAATATCTAATTTTATTTCGGCGGCCGACCACGCCAGAATTATTGCGAGAACACACGCGATCAAGAGTTTATGTTCCCCTATAAGGATATACTGCATGGCTATGAAGGCCTTTAGTATTATGCATGCAGTGGTGATATAGAAAGAGAAAGAGATTCGTATAGAGAAACACATGCAGAATAGCAATAGAACTAAATCAAGTAGTAGAGTAAAAAATAGCTGCCGCTGTTCAAATATCTGCCTTGAATTTTTCTTTAACACTCCGTTCATGGTCCGTCTCTATTATTCTTTTTCAGATTATCACATAAGTGTTAATTTATATATACAGGTATATAATTAGTTACTCAGTTCATAAAAGTGAAGGAAATCATCACGTAGAAATATTACAAATTAACAATTATTATTTACCATAGCTCCAGTGGAGCATTATTGGAACTTATGTGATAGGTATAGGGTAAGTAACATTTTTTTTTCACTGTGTATAAAAACACATGAGTCACATTGAAGAGGTACATAATACACATTTCAGACAGCATTAATGTTTTAAGAAGTCCAGAGTCTTTTGAAAACGCTTATACATACTAAATATCGTCTTTCAAACCAATGATTTGCTCTGAATAATAGACATGCATTGCCGTATCTGACACAGTTCCAGGCGGCGTTTGCATTATACATGTATAGATAAAGATGCATTGACAGTAATATACAACGCTTCAAATTATGTCCATCGTTATGACCATTGTCCTCTGTAATGAATACATGCAAACGATGGACGTGTCTGAAATACCAATGGTTGCTAAGAATGGATGCAATAACAATCCATAATTCATAACGGCCGGAGGGCAATATAGGTCTGTGATAGAAATACCAATACTATTTGACACAATATAAAAATATATCAGAAGAATTGCTCTATATACGAATATATTTCAGGTTCTTAAGTGCGAATGTGCTTATATGGAATTTTGTCGTTATATGCACGTATTTTGTCTTATAATTGGGTGGTTTATTTAATGTATTTTGCTTTTATTTGTTTGCATTTATAAATAAATGGAGCTTTCCTTAAGATGGTTTTACAAAGTGTCTCCGAACGCCTTAACCGAAAGATTTTATACTTGGATTCAGATTCATTTATGTACTAATTTCAAATAATAGCGCGTGACATAAATAATATAACAAAACATATTACTGATAAGAATGATGTTTTACGTAAATCTCAACAAATGACGAAGTTGAGCATTAATAACTTGATGATATATCATTCACATCGTATGGCATCTATGATAATTGACTTTTATTTAAATAGTAAGGCATGTTAAAAAGCTATGCTTATATTTAAAATGATTGTGATGCTGGTAATACTTGTAAATCTACCTATACAGAGAACTAGAGAAAAGGGAAATAACAGAGACATAGAAAGGGAGAGAAAATAATCAAACTGAGTCAATATTATAAATATTGAGCTTGAGTTGATGTGGTGCATTCTGTTTGTACCATGCAGCCTATCCTCATGAGACAAGCATTTTTGTCAAGTTTTAGCTCATTCAGTGACTCTCTGATTTAAAAGGTGGTCTCTTTGCAGTGGCTGAATATTGTTCTCACATAACCATGTATAAAATAGCGTCATCAAAAGAAAAAGAAAATACTTCTCTTATTTTGATAGAGGCTAAATTTTCTTTGCAAAAGGACAATAATATTTCATTGAATTTTGTTTATCATACCAACCAAAGAATTCGTATGTATTAATTTGCTTTCGTTTTGCCTCCACATATCTAAATCAGAAGAAATCGTAATAAACATAAAAAGGTGTAAATTATCGAAACTTAGGCCTATTCTATGGCATGAATAATGTTGATGGGGTTTACCTCGAAAATGAGCCATAAAACCAAAATGAGACAAAATCATCAAACAAAGAAACTTATTTAAGGTATAAAATCAAGTCACGCGCAAAATGATTCAACGTATCTTCTTTTCTCCCTCTCTCCGTTTACTCATTTGCATAATATTTGATGCATCTACGAACGGATCGTGTTAATGCATGCATAAGCTTTTAGATGATGAGATGAAGTTTCGCTGCTTGGTAAAATACAGTATCCCTCCTTTTCACCTCGAGTCACTCTCCCTGCTCCAGCCCAGTCGTTAATCAGAGAAACCGTCCCATGATCACGCGCTCTTTGCATCGCCTTTATCACGCTTCTCATTGTGGATCATATTCATTTCGATTGACATACAAACATTGTGCAATAACTTAACTCGTTTTGACAGTTTTCTATCCTCTTTAGTACTCTCCCTTCATCTCCCTCTCCACTCTCTCTCTCTCTCTCTCTCTCTATCTCTCTCTCTCTCGCTCTCTCACGCACACTTACCTTTGTATCGCGCCATTTTTTCGTTGACTTTACTGAACGACTTTCCGCTCATTAGTTGAGTTTTGTCGTCGAGTAACTAACTATATCAATCCTAGAAATGTAAGGTAATTAATGTGACACTGCATTAGACCTTTCCTCATGTCCGTGGGTCTCTAAGACCCCATCGCAATTGATCGTAATTTGCAGATAATTATGTATAAAATATGAATCTCTCTGTCTGTCAGATGATAACAATCCAATCACACGGAAAATAACAAATTGATGAAAGATATAGTCACCAAATTACTATTAGTGATTACTATTCAAATTGATTATGTTAATTTTTGTTTAAAAATACTCTCGTTATCTGTAAATCCACACATTTCTTACAATATATTTACATACATGCTGTGTGGTTAAATCCAGTTATAAACATGACTTTTGGAACTGTGTATCATTATTTAATGATTTCATCTTACATCATTAATGGATAATAAATGTATTGCGTTGACTTATTATAGTTATTAAGGGATAATAAAGGCATCGAATTGACTCCAGTTAAATTTCATGACATAACTAATTCATGATTAAATCACTATAAAAGTTAGTCGGATGTAAACAAAAACAAGACAATGTGAAGAAAAAAAATGTATCGTAAATAAATCCACTCGACTCGACCATTATGCTCAACTGGCCCATAAATATTTTAACACATAAATCTAAAAGAAAACATAAAGTATGAAGTAAACTTTAATGAATGTGAATGTCCAGACCGAAATATGGTGAGCAGGAGAGGAGGAAGGGGGGGGGGGCAAGTGGAGGAGAGGGCAGTTGCCTTACAATATTTTGGGAATTGTCTGTAGTGTGGAGTGTATTATTCAGGGTTAATGCGTTTACCCCACCCCTCCCGCGATCATTATGTATCAGTTCCTCTCTACACTATACCACAACAACCACCACCATCAGATTCATCACCATCATTTAACTACCCCCACCATCATCATCATCATCATCATCATCATCGTCATTTCACCCAATATCACCATTATCACTACCATCATCATCATCATCACCTCCACCACCGCCACATCGTCATCACCACATCATCACCATCATCATCCCAACAGCATTGCCATTTTCATCATCATCACCATCATCATCATCATAAACATCATCATCAATATCATTTTAACCAAAATCACCAACATCACCAACACCACCAACACCACCAACACCACCAACACCAACACTATCATTTTCCTTATCATCATCATCATTTAAAAAACGTATACGTAGAAAGATGTCCTATTATTTATTTTTTATACTAATCATAAAATATTTTCATTACAAACTAAACTTCATCCAATTTAAAATTTACTATCCAAACCCCCTCTCTTTTTTCTTCTTTCTGTTTCAGCCGGTATGCCGTACATGCACCGAATACTCCACGAGGGTTCGACCACCTCTAACGGTCTGCACGAGAAGAGGAAACAGCGCCGCATCAGGACAACATTTACCAGTGCACAGCTCAAGGAGCTCGAGAAAGCCTTTAATGAGACCCATTATCCGGACATCTATAAACGAGAGGAATTAGCCTTGAAGACTGATCTAACTGAAGCCAGGGTACAGGTGAGTTGAGTTTGATATATTTGTTATGAATTGTTTTCTTTTAATTAATTGTTACTCAATTTCCACCACTTACTACAACTATTGCTGCTGTTGCTGCTGCTGCTGCTGCTACTACTACTCATAGGCCTACTACTACTACTACTACTACTACTACTACTACTACTACTACTACTACTACTACTAATACTACTACTACTACTACTACTACTACTACTACTACTACTACTACTACTACTTCTTATATTATTACTGCTACTGCTACTACCGCTGCTGCTACTACTACTACTATTGCTATATTTGTTTCAACATTTGATATCTTTTATTACCCTAATTATAAAAACATATCTGAAGATAATCACAGCACAAAACAATATCCTTATATCTTCATTCCATCCTTTTATTTTTTTTAAATCCCAGATGTGATATATTTTTCTTCAGTTCTTGCGTTCCTCTCTGTGTTATTTCACCAATATATTCATTATGATGACATTCGAAAATACAAGCATTTTTGCAACATTACTCTTATGTCTGTAATCATTCTGAAATAGTTTTATTTGTTTTAATGTTTTTGTTCAGAAATAACTGCGCAATGTTAGCTCGTGGTAAATGATTACCGTCTTTTTCCCCTATATTTTCAGGTATGGTTCCAAAACAGGAGGGCAAAATTCAGGAAAACAGAACGTGCCAATGCTGCAGCAACTTCTAACAACAACAACAATAGCACCAGCAACAATAACAACACCACCACGAACACCAACAACAGTAGCAGCAACACTAACAATAGCAACACCACTAGCAACAGTAGCAACAGCCCAGCCAGCGGGACAACAACCGGAAGTACACTGACCAACGGCACGACTGGGTCAACGGGTCAACAGCATGGTGGTGTTGGTCAGTTGTCTCAGACCGGTGGTCAAGCGAAGACGAGTGGAGGAGCAGTGTCTCCTGTGAAGAAGAAATCACTGAAGGCCGAAGATTTGTCACCTGTAGCGCCCACTACCGTCGGATCTATGACCAGTGTTAGTTCGTCTGCTTCATCAGGTAAGGCCTTCCACCTACTCTGCTTCTGTTGCTGTCCTTTCTCAATTATTGTTTTCAATTATATATCTCATAACTCCTCTTTCAACTATAGCCTTAGCTCATCTATCCTTTAAAACAAAATGTGCGTATCTCCCTCTCTCTCTCTCTCCCCCACTTTTGCTAACTTAAAATACTAAAATATCTGTTTATCTTTTTTGTTAAAGTATTCTAATTGTAGTAGAATAATGTTAAATTGAATTGAGTTCTTATTAAATAAATACAAATAAATCACACCACAAAATATAAAACCGAGGATAAGGTGATATTGTTTACTTATTTCTGTAACTCTCGTCATTATCCTACATTATTTTACTCTGTCTTTTGATGGACAGTAATTTCTTACTAACATATTTTCATACATGTCATCGTCATCTTTATTATTCTAATCATCTCTATTTCTCGTTTTTATTTTCATCGCAGTTACCCATTCCTCATCAACCAACTCGTCTGTCTCAAGTCATTCATCTCAGCATCCCTCATCGCACTCCCACCCGACGTCCCACCCGACCTCTCACTCACAGCTGACCAGCGGTGGTTCATGGGCGGCTGCAAACTCCGCCTCGGCCGCTACTCATCCCGCTCTCCATAGTCCATACTCCACTATATTCCCCTCGGCATCAGCACTGCAACACGCCGCCACTGCCCCGGTTGGACATGGTCAAATTAAGACCTCGCACGCCAAAGCCACCTCACATTCGAGTCTGTTTTCGTTGAACTATTGAAGTCATGAGGAGGGATTTTGTTAGTATGTGCTATTTTCTCACCTCTTTTCTATCGGAATTCGGCTATTCGCGATATGTTATTGTGATTATCAATGCAAAATTGAAGTCATTGTTTTACAGGATGACTGGAACACTGTGTGAAAATGACTTTTTTTCTCACTTACTGATGGAATTTGATCGTCTTTTTATTTATAAAAAACAACCATTCTCATCGTTAGAACTGTGTAGAGAGTGTTATATTACATCTTTGTTGTAATCGCATTAGGCTATTCAACGTCTCATGGTTTCATACGTAAAACGTTAACGGTAAATGTGTATTCTGAATACACAAGATGGAAGAAAACTTCAGTTTTATATCATATGGATAGATAAGGAAATAAAATGACAACATGATATCGAGATACTAAACCATATCCCTTTACTTCTTATATTTCATACTAGGGAAAACAGGCAAAATAAAGATGGAATGTCTGGGAATTCATGATAATTACAATTCATGATACTAAATCTTTGTGTATCATCCATAACGCCATTTGGTTGATTTGTTTTGATTTCAACCCGTTGGTTTAAAAAGAAAGTATTGCACATGTACTTGCATATTATATCAACATTATGGTTAGAATATTTAAAGAAAATCGAAATTGATATAAAAACTGGTCTCTTTCCATTTTAAAGGAATTCTTGAGCGACTCTTTCTTGTTTGTAGATTTATTATTTATATCTCGTAATCTACGAAACCAAAGGAAACGAATTAATTTTGTGAAAATGTCTTTTCTGTATATTTCTGATCTTTTATAGACTTTGAGCATACACCTTTATGTATAAGTAGTCTATACTTCTTTGTTACAACTTTATTGTATTTTGCAGGGTTTAGTGCTACATGCCTGTTGTTGTTATGAAATTGTATATAATTATTTACAAAATTGAAGAAAAAACAGAATTATTTCTAAATCTTCTTTTTCTTCACTGAATGTCCACATTTTGTGTGAGGGTAAATGTTTCTTCAATGAAAAGCAAATTTTGAAATGATGAAGGGAAAGGTGCAATATATAATGCTGAATCAAGATTTAAAACAAAAATTATTCTTACGATATTTCAAAAGAGTCATGTACTACTTACTCACATTTGATTTGATGGGACCGTTTATGCAATATGTACTCTGGTTTGACCTCTTATTTGTTGCAAACTGAGTAGAACCTTTGATATTTCTATTTAACTCTTCATTTACAATATTCCAATGGATTAAGGACTATATACCTATCTTTGGACTGGCTTTTCTAAAATTGAGAAAGAGAATCCATAAATACAGAAAACTTTTATCAGTTGGGGTAATGATAACATGTAGTTTTTTAAGCTTCTAATAACCTTAAATTTGTTATTTATCAATAATTATTAGCCAAATTACAATGCTTTTACTTTCACGATATATTTTGTTGAGGATAGATTATGAGTAATCTTATCTAGAGTGTCAGAACCAAATATTACCACGATATTCTTGTAATAATATTTTATAATAATATCTATAAATTATTCTTTCCTGAGTCTTGTTTCCTCTTTAGAGTTTAACTTCTCAAACTCCCTCTTGGAACCAAAAGAAAAGAACAATTTTTAGGTGTTGTTTACTTATAAAGAATTTACCTTCTCGTCTCTAACTCACATTCTCATTTTTACAGGGGTACACAATTTTATTAACTCTTCTTCTTTTTTTTAAACTAAAAATTCGTTTGAAATATTACCTCTCAATTTTGTCAGAAGTATTATAATACATTAGAGAGGCTGAATAAGGAACAAAACTATTCTAAAAAGAATTATAACTTCGCTTACTTTTTGCACAAAGATGTATGTACAGTGTATGCATGTAAATAATACTCATGAATGATCTTGTATTATGTTCTGATTCGTGCCAAAATAAAAAGAGAAAAAAGAGAAGTTTCTATAGTTGTGCTACTTACTTTGTTTGCCATGAGTAATTGTAATATTCAGAAATATCATATTGTCATTCACAAGAAAAGGACGTATCAGCAAACAAACAAAGAAAGAAGCATTAGATAAGTTAGTAGAAATCGAATGTGGATCATTTGAAATGGCGTGTTTTTACGTGCCATGAGTGCTAACTTATCCATTATAAGATTAACTGATCGCCTAACATTCGTAAGAGAATTGTAACAAAAATGAATTGATACGATACGTCTCGATGCAAAATTATGAAATTCAATGTTTTTGAAATATAAACGGATCTTACTGGAGGACAATATGGGCAGTAGTGTTTACAGTTTCTATTACATTATCATTTTAATATCATGCCCTTCCAAATGACTATTTGATATCACATCAATCATATCGATTTGGCGACCAATATATAATGAAGAAGAAGGAAGTGTTAAGAGCATCTCGAACACTGTTAGATTTTCCTTTCGTTTAAGGTGCAGAACGTCCTACAATAATACATGTGGGTATCTCACATAAATAATAAATTGAGATAAGAAGTAAAATGCCATACGGTGTACTCTAAAAAACTCTCGGCGGTAATACTGTTATAGTTATTAAAACCCACACACACCTTCACACGCATACACGCACTGCGCACGTACACACACGCGCACACACACAAATACACCAGTAACAAACAGTATGTATGTAAATACACCGGTAACAAACAGTATGTATGTAAAGTTTGTGGCTCGTTTCAAACATCACGTAACCCCTTGTTAAAAAAAACGATACATTAAATTAAGATCAATACAGATAATATCATATATGACAATTAACAAATACTGTGGAATGATACGAGCCTTGTTTGTCTATTTTTCAAAATGAACCAAACATCTTTATTAAAATACCTTGTTTGATATAATTCATTTCAGAAGCGGACCAATCGTTTGTATATTCAAGGAGAAAATAAACGGGCAGTGCACAGACGATGTAAAAGAAAAAAGTGCTAGCCAAGAGAAGCTGGCGGTAAAAATGAGCATCGGAACTCTCTATCCCAACATCTCACTTTCAGGTTTTGAATTTCAATGCATATCCACGAGCCGGCCCGAGTTCGATGTTCATTTCGTATCATGTTTTAATGGCCTATGACAGGAAAACCCTTTACTTCCATCATATTTCTTCTCTAAAGTCTTTGTGTAACAAAATATAAATTACACGTCGAGGGAAATCCTTGGTGTAATCACGCGAAAAATATGCCTCAGTAAAGTTTGTTCAACGATCAAAAGAAAGAGACAGAGAAAGGAAGAGGGAAAAAAACACTTGATACGGAGCGATGATGGTTGAGCAACATCTCCGACACTTGTAAATATAAGAAAGGACAAATAATAAGAGAAGGGAAAAGAGGAGGAAAGGAGAGGAAAGAGAATGTTAAGATGACGAGGATGAAAGAAAAAAAAAAGAGGGAACTGAATATTCCACGCACGACCTGCTTGCGAAGGTAGAAGCTTTAATAGCCCGGTGAAGATGCGAAGCGCGGGAAACCGGCCTGTCACAAATTTGATTATCGTCTGGCGGAGCAGGCATAGGCGCGTTTTCCCTTTCTCTCGTTGACCTATTGTCAGCGCGATTTCGCTTTCGAGTTCGTCACACACTTGAATCGACGCCGACTTGAAAGCTTTCTACCTTCCCCTTTCTCTCTATCTTTCCTCTTCTTCGTTATTTCCCTCTTTTCCTTTCTTTCATCTCTTTCATTCTCGTTTTCTTCTCAATTCTTGACAGTAAGTTATTATCGTAATGGTCCTGAAAAAAAGCTTACAGTCCATAATGGTAGAAACGATTATTCTATTTTTGTAAATCGCATATCACAATATAACGTTTCTTATGTAAATCCCGTGCGCTTACACAGTATCCAACCAACAGTGCGTTCACAGTCATAGCTCTGGGTATAAAGATTACAACAACAAAAACCAGCAGCAGTAGCAGCATAAGCAGCAGAAACAAAAAAAACAAAAAAAAAAATCAATGCTTTGATCTTTCCAATCGATTTCTCTTGCATTTAATTTCATTTATTGTGCTACAAGTATTATGCCTTTACTATAATAAGTAATTAACCATGTGTTTGCATTAACTGATTAACATTATTTATATCCACATAATGCATGGTTGTGCCCATCTTAAATTTCGATTATGGACTTTAAACAACAGAATACAATAGAGTACTCACTTCTCAGAAAGCTTAATAACTAATTGTGTTTCTCAGATTTCTTTAGTGGACTTGTATATTAAAAGGCTTTATAAGACTAGAATCAGTTATAAATCTTGTTTTTTAAATGAAAATGGCAGGGTTTGATTCGGATAATCAATTGAAGTTCATCTTTACAAATAATGACTATACATGGGACTCAAACTGGACTCATAGATCGAATGTCACCACGATGACGTCATAAAACAGGAACAACTTAAATTAAAAACGTTCATGCTCATGTGAGTCACATGATGAGAGTTAGAAAGGAATTTAAAGAATTGAAAAGTATGGAAATACATAGTTGTCTCTGTGGCGCAATCGGATAGCGCGTTCGGCTGTTAACCGAAAGGTTGGTGGTTCGAGCCCACCCAGGGACGGCCTTGTCTTTTTAGACTAAGGTTATGGCAAGTAGTTGAGTTCTGATATTATATATGGTACATTATACCGAACAAGAATATAAGGTAATCTTTTTAGACGAAACATATCAATTCACTTTTGTCTTTCGTTCCTGTAGGCATCTTAGTTAATCTGATAATGCTCAAGTTATCATTCATCGCACGCCACGCCATTTCAAATGAAACAAAGTTATACAAGATTATATGTACATCTCTCCTCCTCTCCCTCTCTCTCTCTCTCTCTCCCTCTCTCCCCCACTCTCTTTCTTTCTCTCTCTCTCTCTCTCTCTTATTATTGCTATTTCGCTAGTTTGCTCTCTTCCGTGATCCCTTTAAGCTTCGTTTTACCCCCGTTTTCGCACACACTTTCTCTGCTTAATATCATTCATCATTCTCTCTCTCCCTCTCTCTCTTCTTCTTCTTCTTCTCTCTCTCTCTCTCCTTCTCTCTCTCTCTATCTCTCTCTCTCTCGTTTCTCTATCACTCCTCATGCAATCCCATT